TTGTCCTCGGGCCCCGCTCCAGTGCACAGCTCAATCCACAGCGTCTGCTTCTGGGGCGGCAGCCGGGCACTGAGGTCTCCTGAGGCCTGGCCCAGGGGACAGGGATGGAAGGTGGCAGGGGAGGCCCCGCCGAGAGCGAAGGGGCTGTGGCCGCGGAGGCTGGAACGGTCCGCCAAGAAATCCCCACAGAAACGCGTAGCTTCGGCCTGAGGAGGGAGAGGATTTCCTTTCCAGCAGCTCTGGGGACCGGGGCCCCAGCGGCAGCCAGGACAGAGGCTCGGGGAGGAGGGACAGGAAGCAGGGTCCAGACACCGAGTAGCACCAAATTTGGACAAGCTCAGGGGCGAGGAGCCCGGGCCTGGCCTGGGCAGAGGCTCGCTTCGCCGATGGGGTAAACCAAGGCACCTGCCACCCCATGCACTGGCAGAGCTGCTGCAGGGTCGCAGGAGGGTGAGGCCTGCCAGGCACTGCCTAGGCATCGCAGAGCCACCACTCCTCAGCTCTGCAAGCTGCACTCGGCTGGCTCCTGGGGTGCAGCACTGAGCACAGCACAGCAGAGGCCCAGAGTTTTCCCAGCACCTGCCCAGAACTGCATCCCTGACTTCCAGCCAGCTGGTGCCGTCACTGCCATCTGCCGGGGGCTGACATAACGGGTCAGGAGCTCAGCGGTCAGCTCGTACCTGGCATATGCCCGGCCCTGGGTTCCATCCCCAGCACTACAATTAAAAAAAAAAAATAACACAAGCAGTGTACAAACATCCCATCGCCCAAGTCACAAAGCTAGAGTAGAAATGCACATGTGGTAACGGCTTGCACAGTGGGAACAGGCTTTCCTTGTGTAGTGTGCAGCCTGCACAACCGGACATGACACCCTGATGAGCAATTGGATTTGAATTTGGGACTGCTCTAGAGCCTGAGATCCTTGAAAGAGAGCTGACCGGGCCCCAGGGGTGTGGGAGTGAGTTGGAAGAGGGAGAGGCAGGGAGGATCAGATGTACACACTCGTGTGGGTACACACATGCACAACTGTGCACCATCTGGGTAGGCAGGACCGGCCTCAGGGTGGCAACAGCCTGTGGCTGGACAGGTGCAGCTGGTTGGGCTCCCCTGGGCCCTACTCGCAGGGGAGCAGCGCTGCTTTCCTTCAGAGGGGTGTGCAGCACCCAGAGGGTGCACTAGGCATGGACTGTATGCCAGGGGCTGAGGTGGCAGGGAGAGGCCTGGGAGGAGCCTCTTCCTGGGCCTGCTCTGTCCTTTCCGATGGGAAGACTGGGCTGGAGCAGGAGGAGGGCGGAGGAGCAGACAGGAAGGGGCCGGGCGCCACCTAGGCGGCCAGGGTCACTGGCTTCCTGCAAAGGGACACGTGGGGACCCTCAGTTTCCAGGGATTCCAGACTCTCGCTCCATGCAGGTCCCCACAGAAGGAAGCCGCCACGTCCATGCCCTCCCTCCCTGCAGGGCACCCAGTTCAGGGGCCATGGCAGCCACAGGGGCACCGCCCTGAATGCCACTGTCCGACAGCTGCACACAACACCTGCCTGGGGGCCCGAAGGACATCCCCGGGTCCTGGGGCCCTGGCTGCCTGCCCGCCTGCTGCCGCCCAGGGCGGGACCCACCTGGCCACTCCTTCCTTCCGGCCGTGTCTTTCCTATGGCCGCCCTGCTCTTCCGGGCCTCCACCCTGCTGGCTGGAGGCGCTGATGCTGCCCACCCCGACCACGGCCGCTGCTTCAGGCGCAGTGGTGGCCCCAGTACAGCCTCTGCCCTTCACGGTCACTTCTCTGGCTTTGTAGTCCTCGAAGGATGTGTCCGAGGTGGGGAAACCGAGGCCCTGAGAGGTTCGTGACCACAAGATCACACACCCAAGTCCATGACGGAGATGAGGACAGCATCAGTCCAGGAGTGCCTGCCTCCAACAGCGTGTCTAACCACTGCACTGCACTGCCTTGCTTACGCCCCTCGCACAGCGTCCAGGCCCTTGGTGGGATCAGAGGACAGCCCTGCTGCGGCTGCTGGCTCCAGCCCAGCCTCGGGAAATGTGCCGACCAGCAGAGATCAGAGGGGCTAATCCCAAGCTGTGGGACAGGCCCTGGGGGCCGCGGCACGGGCTGAGGCACAGATGTCTCCCGGGAGTCCAGCCCATTAGAACAGAGGGGCTGTGTGGGGCGGCACATGCAGGGAGGGACAGTCAGCAGCCTGCTGCCCTCAGTCCCCAGTGAAGCCCTGTGGTGGCCGTCGCTGAGCTGCAGGGACCTGATCCAGGCTGATCTGGACCCTCAGTTTCTCATCTACAGAGCAAGGAAAAGTTTCCACCCACTGGGCTGCCCCAGGAGGGAAGAGCTCCTGGGGAAACCGAGGCAAGTGCTACTGGGTGCACACAGCTCAGCAGCCCAGGAGAAGGCGGGGCGGCTGAGGTCAGCATGAGGGGCCAGGGCAAGTATACTCCGTGTCCCCAGGGGCCACCCCAAGCCACCCCCTCGGCGGCTGTCCCTCTGTTCCTGCATTGCCTGGCCTGGCCCGGGCTTACTGGCCCCGGCTCCCTGCAACAGGGAGACAGCCTCTGCTCCCCTCTGTGCCAGCTGCCCATCCCCTTCAGCTGCTCCAATTTCACAGGGCTCAAATTTTCAAGGTCGTAGGGTCAGCTGCGGGGGTCTCCTCACTGACTCCCCAGCAGCTGGGCCTACCCGGAGCCCCCGCACTGGTCAACAGCTTGGCTGGCCTCCCATGCTGAGCTCACACAGAGCCGCCAATTGCGGTGAGCTCAGAGTCCCAAGCAGCCTAGGTGACCACAGCCGGCTGGATGGCCAAGCGCCTATCAAGGCCTGAAGAACAAGAGGGATGCTCCTCCCCCTGTCCCCCCAGAAAGATCCCAGGGAAGGATTGTGATTGGGCCTGGTGAAGTCACACCCCCCCATCTCTGTACCAATCACAGTGACCAAGAGAGTGGGACACTGTGATTGGCTGGGGCTGGGTCACATGTTTTCCTGTTGCTAAGGGGCAAGGGCAAAATACTGTGATTGGTACTTGCTCCCAGGACCTCAGGGATAGGGCAGGGCAGCGGTGCCTCCCCAAGACAGGGCATAGCGCCTGGACAGGAGCAGGTACGAGTCACAGCCAGACACCAGTTTGCACACCAGGGCAAGCCCATGGGAAGGGTGGGTAGGTGGGGTGTCTTCTCCTGACGGCACTCTGAGCCCCCACACACCCAGGCAGAGGGCCCCATGACCCCCGGTGCAGACCGCTGGGGGCTGCCAGGCTGTCCCGGTGCCCGGCCCCTCCCTGCCGCCGGAGCACACATTGCGAACATCTGGCGTGGGCCTGCTGCTGGGGGTCCCTCCTGGGGTTCCCCGCCGCTGACAGGAACCAGCGCGGTTTTATTACCCGCGGAGCACATGTGGGAACATTCCGGGCCAGCCCTGGGAGCCCACGCCCGCGCGATGGCAGCGGCCCAGGAAGGCCTCCCTCCCCGTCCCGGGCCGCCGTGTGACCGCACTTCTGCAGGCTGGACGGCGTCC